CGCGCGGACATCGTCTAGAAGGGAGAAAAAAGGCTCTTCTCTCGCGGCGGCTTTCGTGAGAGGACAACATTTGCGCCCCAGGGTCAGGATAGTCGCAGCGAGCGGTCAACTGGGGCCTGATGCCGCGGCCGACATTCGACCTGACGCTGGTGCATACGCCGTACCCATTACTTTCAATTTATGTTCCTCGCGATCCTTAAATCGGCAAACTTTCGGGGACCGCCCGCAAGGCTCTCTGAAGCGCCACTAAGATATACAGGGTGTTCTGAGCGTTCGTCGCGATTTCATCTTGGAAATTCTTCGATTAATTTGGAATCTTTGGAAAAATTAGTCTGACCGCTATTTCTCATAATTTTTTAATAAATAAATATTAGACACCTTTATAGCTAATCTTTAATATAAAATTCTGCAATTATTAAGATTTTAATTTCGATAAGACAGAATTTCTTCATGCAATTTCATATTAGATTGATATTATATTTTGAAAAATTCTTTGAAAATAAAAGATAAGACAGCAGTGTTTTTTCTATCGTTAAAATTTCTATTATATATAACATTAAGCAGCGTTAACACTAAACTGTTTTGAATGGATATCAAATTGACAAATTGATCAATAATTATAAGTTCCGATTTACATGTATGTGTGTGTATATATATATATATATATATATATATATATATACATATATATATATGTAGAAAAATCCTTGTATGATAATTGGCGGATAGTTAAATGTATTTAAAAAGTTGTTTCTTCATATATGTATATATTAATTTGTCTCAGTCATTTCTGACGCAATAAATTTCTGATATTTTTATAATTTATAAAGATATTATATGTTTATAATATTCTTATTTGATAAATTTTTAATTTTTTTAAATATAATATATGTAATAATTATAGGAATTGAATTTAAACAAATAAGTTTAGATATCAAGCAATTAATAAGAAAAAATAAATAAAAAATAATATATAATATATAAAAAATATTAATTTATGCATATCATTACACAAATCCATTATCTCGAGATAGAAAATAGTTTAGTTCACCAATATGATATGCAATAGCGGAATTAGAGTAGTAGAGCACATTGCTCTATAAAATGCAAATATATACAAATTAACAAATTATATAAACCATAAATATCTAAAATAATATCTCAAAAGATAATCATTACGCTTATAATTAATAATTTTTCATTCTTTTTTTTAAAACTATTTAATTAAAAAAAATAATCTAATATCTACTAAGATTTTGTCAATAAATATTTATAAAATATATAATAAATAAAAATATATAATTATTATATAATTTAAATAATTATAAATTCGAAGCAATATTACAATACTTTATACATATATATATATATATATATATATATATATATTTGTACATGATGTGTATAAAATATTTTAATTCGATGTCAAAAAATATATTTATAATCTTTAACGAAATTTCAACACGCATGTAAAATCTAGAATATATTTTTCTGTACATATAATTATGTGTAATAATCATATTAGATAATAATATATAAAGTAAAAATTACTGTGCTCCGAAAATACGCGAACGGTTAATTTCGCAAATAATTAGTATTTAATAAATAATAATAATAATTGATATATTAAATATAAGTTATAGATTGCTTACCTTGCAGTTGCTCCGTAGTCGCCTGATGCGTCCCCGGACCTCCTCTTCCTCCTCCTCCTCCTGCTCCTCCTGCTCCTCCTGCTCCTCCTTCTCCTCTCTTATTATGCTTTGGTGCTCCTTCGTAGCACTCTCCGGCGAAAACACTTTAATTACGATCGCGCGACACTTTGCACGGCACTCCCGACATTAATCACATGCCACGTATACTATATTTCTTCAATTTTACGACGGAAAAACAATGCGAAAACCATAATCTGCTCGATATATGAAAATCGCGCGGCAAAATGCACCAGTCGCACAGTGCTACCACCACTTCTATTGACAGGAATATATTAATATGTATTATTCATAGTGAATTTAATCACCCGTGCACTAGTAGGTAAAAGTTACTATATAAAATATCTAAAAATGCAATACATAAAAACACTATGACAATAAAATAATTAATGCATAAATAATATAACAATATATCATTCCTGTTTTAATTATTTAAAATATTTACATTATTTTCTTCATAAATAACTTCATGTATAGCAGCCTTTAAAATATACTAATCTAGTAATCTAGTACATTGAAAACTGCTACATATAAAGTATCTAAATGCAATATAGATTTTAGTGGTAAATAATTTATGTACATACTGTTAAATAACATAGCAATATATCACTATTGTTTTAATTATTTAACATGTTTATCTTTCTATGCTAAATTATTTCATGCATAGTAACCTTTAGTACACTTTAGTGCAGTATAGTACCAACAAGCAAATGTATTACTTATTAATTTTCCTCATTCAGTTGGTAAAACTGAAAAAGATATCCATTTAGTACGCACCAGTGCATCGATTCGTCTACAATAATTCAATTCGTTATAACAAATATTATAATAATTATATTACTACGTAAGTGAATAAATTAATCACATATTAAAGATAAATATCCAAATGCAATATCCGATAACATTTCGTTGCTTCGTTGAGTACTCGCGCGATTCTGATAGAATAAGTTGCGTAAGATATCTATTTGAATAAATTGACGATGCGTAAAAATATCCAATTTTTACCGCGCAATTGGCAAACATTAAAGTAGACATGATTAAACACGATTTACTAATTAAATACATTGTTAAGATAAACTCGATTCGATCTTAATTTATTCTGTACTCGCGATATTTTGTCAATAAACGAAAAATCGGCAATTTTATTTCAATACCGCGTAATATTATGCAATTGGAATTGATTATATATATAGTTAAGATTCAATATACCATCCAAAAACTAGAATTGCTTAGAATTTGCTAATACTTGTGATAAAAATTCAACGGAATAATATAACGACGGAGCGGCTTGTGTTGTTACTGACTCGCTCGAGTCTCACCGCGCGTATGACAACAAGGCCACTAACTGTCAACAATAGCGCGCTACGCATACACAAAAACCCAAGGCCGAATACAAGGAATTTCGTTGCTACCGCGATATATTTAACACGCTATTTTACTTAATTTTTACTTAACATTAGAAATAAATGCGCGATATTCCGTGTGCGTTTCTTGTGGAATTAATTATAAACGATTAATTTTGAGTCTCATGGCTCTCTCTTTATTACTTTAATTATTCGAATTTGAAATGAACAAGTCGCGTAAAATTATTTTTGTTTACGAGTAATTAATCGTTAATTATAATAATCGTGTAAAATATGGTTGTCTTTCTAAGAAATTAATTTGACGAGGAAATATTCAATGATATGTGCGCGTGCGATACGATTAAAAAAATCCGAATATTAAGAAATAATTGTCACTTTAAATTTCGGAATGAATTAATAATTTCAATTTATTCTGTCGCTTCAAATTCTGGTTTAAATAATTCGTAGATGTAATATAACAGAGTACATAACATGTATAATATTTATATACAAATGTGGATAGCGTGTCACGATTCACTTTCCAAGGCTCAATGTGTGAATGATAACAAGATGAATGTAAACAATATAGTTTAGTACCTTCTATTGCTTCTCTTATAAAGTGATAATATGAAAAAGTGGAATTTTGTGACGTATAGAGCGAAGACGTGTACTGTTTACGCGTTTCGGTCGTCTTATTATCATTCACACGGCAACACGCGTGCGAGCAAGTAGTGAGACGGATCGCTCCATTTATAAATATTATATACATTATATCTCTGTTCATTTAATTATTAATAAACTATTAATTGAGTCATGGCTCTCTCTTTATTACTTTAATTATTCGAATTTGAAATGAATAAGTCGCGTAAAATTGTTTTTGTTTACGAGTAATTAATCGTTAATTAGAATAATCGTGTAAAATATGGTTGTCTTTCTAAGAAATTAATTTGACGATGAAATATTCAATGTATTTGCGCGTGCGATGCGATTAAAAAAATCCGAATATTAAGAAATAATTGTCACTTTAAATTTCGGAATGAATTAATAATTTCAATTTATTCTGTCGCTTCAAATTCTGTTTAAATAATTCGTAGATGTAATATAACAGAGTACATAACATGTATAATATTTATATACAAGTGTGGATAGCGTGTCACGATTCACTTTCCAAGGCTCAATGTATGAATGATAACAAGATGAATGTATAAACAATATAGTTTAGTACCTTCTATTGCTTCTCTTATAAAGTGATAATATGAAAAAGTGGAATTTTGTGACGTATAGAGCGAAGACGTGTACTGTTTACGCGTCTCGGTCCTATTATCATTCACACGGCAACACGCGTGCGAGCAAGTAGTGAGACGGATCGCTCCATTTATGAATATTATATACATTATATCTCTGTTCATTTAATTATTAATAAACAATTAATTGAGTCATGGCTCTCTTTTTATTAGTTTAATTGTTTGATTCTTCAAATGAATAAGATGAATAAAAAATAAATAAAATTCTTTACGTTAACATGATTACGAGTGATTAATCGCTAATTATAATAATTATAATATGATCGTCTTTCTAAGAGATAAATTTGATCGAATGTTATATCTCACGAAATATGATCGCGACTAATATATAACAATAAAACGACATGTTTTGCAGCTACTTGATCGCAGATCGTTGGTTTAAACGAATTATATATTTATTCACTTACGTTACAAGTGCGCGCGAATTCCATATTTTTCATTAACATTGACAAGGTGATGTCTCATGAATTTTAGCTGCGCGATTTTTGAGAACTCAAATATAATATTTAATTTTAGCCTTCCGTCGCAAAAAATTAATAAAGTATGTCGTGTACGATTAATGTCGGGAGTGCCGTGCAAAGTGCTACGCGATCGTAATTAACGTGTTTTTGCGAGTGAGTGTCATGAAAAAGCAACAAGGATAAAGAAGAGAAGAGAAGGAAGAGACTCCCAGAGAGGCGTCAGAGGATGACAGAGCAACTGTAGAGTAAGTTTTTATTTAATTTATTATTTGTTATTTTTGTGAAATTGCGTATTCATCTCTGCAATAGTGCACAGAGAAAAATATTCTACTGTCAAGAAAAGCGATTACTCAGTTTATTTTTCTTTTTTTAAGTAATAGTTTTCTTCAACAAAGAATATATTCTTGATAATAGTCTTAAAATATACTCATCACAAGTGTTAGAAAATTTCATTATCATGTACTTAAAAGAAGAATTTATTTTCTCTTCAAGAATATTGCAAAGTTGTATATCAAAGAAAAATCAAACACGCCATATCAAACACGCATATTTTACGCCAATTCTTGTAGTAAGGAAACCAAATTTTGTGTTTTAATTTAACATTTTTGATTAAAATACTGCACTTACTAAAATTCAGAATATATTCAATTAAATTTAATGCTTGTGGTGAACTTGTGATATATTTGCGGATATACAAACTTGTAATATATATATATATATATATATTCTATAGAATTTTAAGTATATATATATTCTATATATTTTAAGTATATATATATTCTATAGAATATATATATATATATATATATATATATATACTTAAAATAAATAATATTTACTTGAATACAGTATACATTTTTCTCTGTGATTCATCGTGCAACATTATGTCTTTAAATATCCAAAATATTATTATATTTTTTAATATTTAAAGTATTAATGATATACATATATATATATAAATTTTTTTTTTAATACATATTTTTTTATAACATAATATATATATATATATATATATATATATATATATAATGTTATAAAAAAATATTGGACAACATTGCATGTTTAAAGTACATTATTTAAATTATTTTTGTACTATAAGAATTAGATTTTTATTTATTATATATTTTATACACATTTATATATATATTTAAATATAGATTATTTTGGCATTTATGGTTTCTATCGTTGCATATATCTCTATTTAATGAACAAATACAAAATTTAATCGTGTGAAATAATTATTTTCTGAAATTAGTAGCAGCACGTAACGTTTGACACGCTACTTGATTTGAAGACCTTTAATATTATATATATATTATTTCATGATTTTCTCCTTATCTTTAATTTCGTATATAATTATTAGAAATCAGTTGCACGTTTATCAATCGTAGAAACTTGAATAATAGCCTATTAAAATCATACGCATTCCTCATGAATCGCTCTATGCACATATGGTGTGCATCTCGTGTATATTTCGCGTAAATGCATGCTTGGCAAAGGTACAGGGCATATGCGTGTCGGAATCGTTTTTCGGGTAGGAAGAGAGCAAAATCGCACGCGCGTTCCAGAGAGAAAAAGATCGGTTTGACGGCGAGGGGTTGGAAGGACAGGGGACAGGGATTGCAGCGCAGGAATATCGTGCCTGGTGCGTACACGTGCACGCGCACGATCGCGTGGTGGGTGAGCTCGATATCCCCCTCGTAACTCTCTCTTCGGTCCGTATTTTTGCGGATCGTACGCGGGGACGTCACGTCGAGAGTACCAGGGATCCGATAAACAGATTTCTGGAGGACGCGCCCGCGCGTTTCATACTGCGTTCACTCACGCACACAAGTTGACTGCGGATCGCGCGAATTGAATTCTTCGTCGTAAAATTTCAACGTTCGTGATATGGAGGGGAATTCGTTTTGATTTTTTCTTCCTCCGCGTTACTTTTCTTTGCAAAGCGTTTACACGCGTTCAGCGATATGTCAGAGATTAAGAGCGCGTGAAAATTATGCGAGAATTTCTAAAGCCAGTTAAATTAAACTCATATGCACACTGAAACAACACGATTCTAATTATTAACTTGGTAATTGTAATGGATAAATATTTGTTATATTTGTAAATGATTCATTGCGATATTATGATTGCGTTACATATCGAAAATATATGTATTGATATAAATTCATCCATATTATAAAAGTTATTTTTGCATTTCATCGAATCATTTGCGTTCGACTGATTTCAAGCATTTTCTCGATGATTATTGGATTATTATTTTAGACAAATATATTTATCATGATATTATTTAGACAAATATATTTATCATGATATTTATAAATTATATATTTATATATTTATAAATTGGATTATTATTTTAGACGAATATATTTATCATGATATATTTATAAATTATATATTTACATATTTATAAATTGGATTATTATTTTAGACGAATATATTTATCATGATATATTTATAAATATGTACTAAAAATATTTAGACATTTCCTATATGATTTAAATTTGATTTCAAATTTGATTTTCAATAGTTTAATAAAAAGCTACATATTTAACGAAATCACAGTATCGCAGTAAATCGTTCACGAAAAATTACAGTGCAAAATTTCGCGAACGCGTATCGTTGACATTCGAAATAATTCGCACGTAAGATTTTCCCGGTCACCAGACAAAAATCTACTACTAAACGTAAATTGCTTCGTCGGTGTCGTCAGCTTCTAACAGCTGAAAAAGGGGGTAGAAAATGGGACGTTCCTCTTCAAGGGCGTGATTCTTGATCGGAGCGACTCCCTAAGAAGGTCGAGAGCTGGTTTACGTCCGTTTCTCGCTTTTAACAGACGGCGATACGAAACCCGGCTGGAGAATAAGAGAGTTGTCTCTCACAATGCGGTCCCTTCCAACCTGATGGATCGAAGTGAGTTTTGAAAATGTATGCGCACACGGCCAGATTCACAAGGAGGGCTGTAAACCCCGCCTTAGGCCAAGCTCTCGGGAGGGTCCCTTACATTCAGCGCTGAATTTCACCCTATACCTCGCAAACGGAGAGCACCCTTCCGCACACCTCGCTCCGTTTTCCTCCCTTCCTCCCCATCTCTTTCCCCCTACTGCCTCCCTGTCTTGTGTGTACGAGTTTCATGCCAAGGCAGTGACCCACGAACCAACATATTGGCGTTGTTTGAAGAACGAGAATTGCTCGGCGCGCCACTAGGGTTGTTCCCGTGACACACACCAATGTCGATTGATCGATTTTACGACCGCACGATCCTGCAAATCGCCATAAATACCGGCGAACTCCTTTTCGTATAGTCGCGTAATAAAAAATACGCGTGCGTCGCTCGCGTGCGGATAGAATGCGGTTCTCTAGCGCGCTATCGAGACCCTTAACGAAAGTCACGCGAGAACGCTCAAGTGAGAAACTGGCGTATTCGATGGTATAATGATCAAAGGTATCCACTTACACATCTATTCACGTATATCTATTCACACATAAAGTTAAAGCTTTTAAGAAAAATGATAATAACGCTTATATTTTTTTACGCTTGCTCCTTCTCTATTTTTAACATGAAATTTCGCTTTTGTGAAATTTGTAAATTTATTATTTACAAATGTGTGTATAAATATTTGATTAATGAAGGTAGTGATACTGATAATTAACATTGAAAAGTTATTATTTTTCTAATTAGTTTAATTAAAATTTAAATTAAATTAAATAAAAAGTAATTCAATTTAAAAGTTGTTATTTTTCAATTACTAAATTACTTGTTAAATTAGTAAAGTTATTATTTTTCTTTAAGGATATAAAAAATTTTCAATAACTACATTTTGATAACAAATGTTAAAGCGCTATAAGTTGTGTGGTGGCGTGCCTTTAATTTTGAAAAAATGATGATAATACAATGACGTATTTTTCGCATAAATTGACTGTGAACTTAAACTATGAAAATAAAATAATTTAACACAGTTTAGATACAAGTGTATAAATTCGCAGATAAATTATCCAGATACAAAATTACTCTCAACTTTTTCAGCACTTGTACATTAAGAGAGACTCATAAATTTACGATTATTCAAATTGATTCTCTTTCCGCGAGGGAACTCGAGTCGGCGGAGTATCGATACGTGGCCTGTCGATTGCGCGCGATTTTAGCCTCGAATTTATCCGCCCCCGCCGGTATCTCCCGTCGGCGTTTCACCTCCGCCACCGCGGGATTCTTTGATAATTGAGGTCTAGCCGGCGCATGTATAAGGAGGGATATTTGTTCTCTCCACTTAAAATCGAACCGCCTCACATTCCCATATTACGCGGGTTTCGTGCCGCTTTTCGCGTCCCGCATACCCCGCATCGGAATGCCGTAGCGTGTGCGCGCCGCCCACGCTGCATCTCGCGCACGCACACGCACACACACATGAGCGAGCGCGCGCGCGCGCGCGCGCGCGGACGTACGTGGATGCGAGACGGGGTTGTGCGAGAGAGAGAAAGAGGGAAAAAGTGTTCACGCACACGCGCCTGCGGCCCGCACAGATTAAACTCACGCACAGTCCGGCCCCGGGGGCGGCGTGCCAGCCAACTAATGAGAGAGACCAGCGACCGCGATGATAAAGTCTCTGGCTCGTTCGTTCCATACTAACGCCCGAATCGTTTCCGTTGACCACGACGAGAAGGGGGCCTTTACTCCTTCTTCAGGGGCACCGCCGATGTATTTCGTGGGCAGAGCGAATTTAACCCTTTAAGGACTCGATCTCTCGCAAGTCGCTGTACCTTAGAAGAGCAATGATAGCGTAGATGAGAAGGGTGGCATACTAATGTAATGTTTTTAAACCATACAAGGGACGTCTGTAAATTCGTCACGTTTGTTTAAAATTTGCATATACGTGTAAAAAATATGGGATTATGAACATATATTTAAATATATTTGTTATAGTCATTGTATATATTATAATTATTGAAATATATATTTAAATTACACACATTAATAATTATACTATTAATAATTATATTAATATGTTAAATTTATTATTAATAATTATATTAATATGTTAAATATGTCATATCTAATTGTAACTTAAATTGAAATATTTAAATTACACATATTACTAATAATTATATTAATACATATTATTAATAATTGTATTAACTGTTACATCTAATTATAACTTAAATATTTTTGATAAATATGATATGTATGAGAAATTTGAAAATTGATTTTTTTGACGCGATTGAAATTTATTTGAAGATACTTGTG